TCCCTCCATTGCCGCCGGGCATTCTCGCCGGAATGTCGCCTGTGAAAACGAGAAACGAGCTCCACGAGTTGCCGGTCGGAAGAGGCGGGTCCCGGTTGGGGTTTCTTCGGGCAGACTGTTGTTGCCGGAGGAAATTGGAGATGGCCTCCATGAACCGAGGTCTCTCAGGCAGGTCCCTGGCAGCGTTCGGGCTGACCGAGAAGTCGAGTTCTTGAATGAAACCGCCCCCACAATCGGGGCAAGCCACGGCTCGATTTTGCAGTGTGATTGTGTCGTCGCAAGTGTAACACCAGTGAGTGCTCGTCTCGACCGACATTTTTATCTTCTTCTCTCTCTCTCTTCTATATATATATATATGTATCTATCTATCCAGCTTTATTACTCTGTACAGAGAGAGAACTGAAAAAACACAACCAGTACAAAATCAATGATCCAATCAATCAATTAACAATGAAATTTAGGACAAAAACAGTATACTTGATGAAAATCTATAGAAATATTTGCAGTATAAGCACAAAAAGTCCCAAACTTGAGACCCAAAAAGGACCATTTACAGCAATTACCAGTAAACAAGCTCAGATGCGAAATACACAGAGGTTTCTTTAAAAGCAAGATTGATAAAATCTGAACATCAAATCAAGAATCAAGATTCCATTTTTCTCCCCCGCAAGCTAAAACCCACCACCAAAAACACACACACTAGCAAGTAATCAGTCCAGATTTTCACTATCCCAATAGATCAATCATACCAATAAACATATAAAGACAACAACTTTATGCCAAAAAAAAAAAAAGGAAAAATTCAGAAAGAACTAAAAGGAAGGAAAATGGATGGGATGAGGTAGAGAGAATGTAGATACCTTTGATCTGTTGGGTAAATACGACAAGAATAGAAAATTCCCAGATGGAGCAAATGCATAGATAAAGCTAATTTTAATGCATTATTTATGGCCAAGAGAATCTTTTTAGCACAATGAGTGCTTTGAGAGAGAGAGAGAGAGAGAGAGAGAGAGAGAGATTAACACATGTAACAGAGTTGTTTTTAGTTAATAAAAATGAAGTCTTTAAAAGAAGTGTGACTCAGAGAGTGAGTGCTGTCCTTATCTAGCACCTTCATTGGGAGATGGGGAGGAGGATTGGGCTGGGTTGTATTTGGGCCCTGAACTTGTCTTGTTGGAAATCCAACTCTCTTACTTGGAGATATTAATGGGCTAGGATGGCCCATTAGGTAAGAGTACTTCAAGTTGAAAGCTTGGGGGGATGATATGAAGACTTGAATAAAAAAGGTTGTCTTATTTGTCTATTTATATATTTATATGATTTATTTATTTATATATTTACTTTCAGTATTATATTGATGGTTTATCTGCAGTTATTTTATTATTGTTTTTCTCAAGTGAATTGTTTTTATTTATAACTCGTTTACAAATTACGATAATGTGCAAATTAGAAAGAAGTCGAGTTGAGAAACATAACTCGTTTTTTTTTTTTTTTTTTTTTTTTTGTTTTTACAACCAAGGTGAAATGACTTGTGATAGAGGTTTCTAAAAAGGATAGAGAACATGAACCAAATTTTGCATCAATTTCACTATAAAATAACTCTGGATTTTATTAATCTGACAAAAAAAAAATAAAAAAAATGTGGAACACCTCTTAATCTGACTTTAATTACAACAGAACACATAATGACACACAAAACATGAACTCAGCTGTGCAATCCAAGCTTAATATAGAGGACAACTTTCATTTCCTGCATATATTTGTAAATTTTTCAAGTCTCAGCAATGCATTTTCACCTTGGTTGTAAAAAAGTGACTTTTGTCAAATATGCTAAGATATTGATACGAAAAATCGTCAACAAAAAGATAGGTAGCTATGAGACTCGCCTTACACAGGAAGAGAAAAAATTGGGAATACAAAACCTGCATGTACCACCAGCAGTTGAAACGCGGTCATTACAATAACCCGCTACACAGTTTTTTCAGGACCAATGCAAGTATTGAGATTCATTCACTAGTAGTATTTGGCAACTATGAAACCAACTAGACAAAAAGGTAAAATATATCAAAATTAGCAAAAAGAAGAGATGAGGTGAAGAGGGGAAAACTCGGCAAGAACACGAGTTTCTGCCTCTGGGATCTTCCTCATAGGCAAAGTTTGGGTAAAAAACGAACACTGCAAACAAAGATGAATAAAAGAATCAAGGGCTGAAAACCAAGGGCAATAATTACTTCGCAAGATAATCAGCTGAAAGTCGAAATTATTGTGTCGGGCTTCAATGGCCGAACTTCAACTTAAAATATACAAAAACAGGGCAAGAAAAATTAGTACGCCAAACAAAATAGAGTAGAAACAGAGCTTGATTCACACCACCAAATGAGTGCATTAATCGGTATGCTATCTGAAGCTAATTCCAATTGGGAACAAAGTTGATTTTCCCCTTAGCAGGCCAACAAAAAAGCTGTACCACTACAAAAAGCCCCTACAGTTCAGTAAAAAATGCATCCACCAGAGCTAGGAAACGAGTTTAAGACAAGCAAAATGCTGGGAAGGCACAAAATATAATTTTTCAAGTATAACACACAAGAAAACAATATTTTTATTAGAAAAACGTAACAAAGATCCACAGTGACAGGATCAAAAAGTGTGACTTTGATTAAAGATAACATATAAGACCAAAAATTGCCGGCATAATAGTGACCAGAATACACATTTATTTGTAACTGATAAGTAAACATTCAAATTATGGCGATCATTCTAGCAGGATTAGACTCAACTCTGGAGAATCGCATATGCTGTATTCGGCGTTTAGTTTACCAAGTATCACCAATCTGTGGATTTCGGTGGGACCTTAAGAAAAATGCACGACTCTTTTCTATTTCAAAATTTTCTAGAGAAAATAGAAAAAGAAAAAAGAAAAAAAAAAAAAAA